CTCACTGCCAACTAGCGTTTCGGAAGTGTTAATGCAGACCGACAGAGAGCGCGCAGAAGTATAAATGCACAGCTACAGCCGTTGCATGCGCCGTTGGTTACGCCGGTCACCTGACGCAGAAGTATAAATCAGGCTTTATTCAGTGGTAGAAAAATTTCACAGCTATGAGGTCCGTTTCCACTGAGTGGTTCGGTTTGGTACGCTTTTATGGCTGTTTCCACTGTCAAAAGGCGTACCGAACCGTACCGTACCACTTTTTCGGCACCCCTTCGAAAGGGTCCCAAAAACGAGAAAGGGTACTAAAAGGCAGAGCTAGACGCGCAGCTGAACGCTATTGGTTTACAGAGATGTGTCATTCGTAGACCCAACAAGCCAGAATGTAAACAAAGAACCCGCCATGTTTGAAATACACAGCGAGAGATTACAGCGGAATTATAAATACATATGCAGCCATGGTCGATCCTGCAAACAAACCCTGTCGTCATCTTGATTAACAGCCACAAAGCCATGGAGAAGAGCAGAATCACCCTGTGCTGCGTCTCTATCTGAAATAACAAACTTCTTGAGCTGATAATAATAACGTGCACTTGATTATGGACAAGCTTTGGAAACCCGATCCTGTGAGAAGCTGACAAACGCGAGAGTGGAGCACGGAAAATAGGCGAAGCCAAGGAGCAGGTTATTTCTTCAGCAAACGTGAACAAACTGCCTTGTTTTAATCTTTATTATCACCTTTTGGACTAATATGAACTGGGAATGATGGAATGACTCTCTAACAGAGGCTTCATGTGCTGCTGAAGATTACAGACACAGATGAGAGGTTTGCTCTGACTGTAGGCTAGACTTTGTGTTGTTTTGAACCTAATTAAGGATGAAATGTCTGCTTTGTGTAGTTTTTCTGTAGTTGGTAACATATCGGAGACTGTAAGTGTCTGTATGTGTTCATATATGTTCATTTATTTAAAATAATTACAGACGTTACAGTAGGCTGTTTCGCACCGTCATTGATCTGCAGTTATAATCAAGTCATGTTCATAGAAAAGTTAGTAATAAACATTTATACACAAGTATTTATGTGTGTAAAGCATCTGTTTTGTCAGAAGTGCTTTTCATATGATATGTGAGCGACCTCTGCAGCTTTATTGTAGACCTTTTCTCGAGCGAAAATGATGTCGACTGAAACTTTGTCGTACACCACGCCCTCCAAAAGGGTACCCTTGGTAGTGGAAACGCCAGCCTGATAAAGGTGACCCGTACCGTACTGTACCAGTCAGTGGAAACGAGCCAATGGTGATACTCTCCATGTACAATAATGTGAAGGAGAAAGTTACTGAAGATCTTAGCAGTGCACTTTGAGTAGTCTTGACTACAGATTGCTGGACCTTCAGAGCAACACACAGCTTCATCACTGTCACAACGCACAAGCGTCACATATTATTATATTGCATAAAAGTCTTAATGCACATAGCTTGTGCTTTCAGATTTTTCTTTTTTAAATCAAGAATCAAATCGAAATGTCACTCTAGAATGGAAAATGTAATCATATCGAGGATTTGGAGGATCGTGACACCCTTAGAAATATTAGACATGCTGTTCCTCTGTGCAATTGTCGTCAATAAATCGTCACATTTATAAATACTAATAAACACTATACAGATCAATGAATCTGTACGTAGAGACTGGCACGGTTGTCAGAGTGTTGAAGGAACGCTCCACCTTTTTTGACTATTGCACATACACACATTGCGAAATCCATGCTGAAGCCATATATTGTGCAGAACCAATGTAAACATCGATAATAAGGGTGTCATGATCCTCCAAATCCTCGATTCAATTACATTTTCGATTCTAAAGTCACAATTCGATTCGATTTTCGATTATGAATAATTAATTAATTAATGACCAATTAATTATTAGTAGCCTACCGTTTAAACTACCTGACCTGCATGGTCTTTGTTTTACCCATAAACAAATCATACAGTAAATGAATAAAGGCAAGATACACACATAATTACCACCTGTCAATCACTTTTTCTGCGGGACTCGTGAATAGGCAGTGATCTGTGTCGTCATAATGGCGTCGGTAAAAAAGACGCACAACCAACAGGAACCAGCCAACAGTATCTGAGGTGTTCGCTAAAATGACTAAGTACAAGTGAGTGAAAGATTGAAGCAGTCCTCTGACTGCCTGGACCTGCTGTCTCGAGCGCATGGCTGTGAGTGCGTCTGTGTCTGTGTGGTCACGTGATGTGCATTTTCAGAGGTAGAGAGGAAGGAGGGCTGCTCAGAAACGCTACACGCCACTGTGGATGTCAAATCGTTGTCGTTTTAAAATGCCATTTAAAAACAAAGACAGTGTAAACGGGGCCTGAGTGTGTACTTTTCGCCAGCGGATTTGCAACGGGGGCGGGCGGAGGATCGGGATGCCGGTGTTGTCTATCGGACGAACCGTACGTAATACGTACATAGCAGAGCTTGCAAAACTGTGTTTTTTTTGTCGACAACACGAACGTTGTCAACATAACTCTTACACACTTACATAACTCTTAAATGCTCACACACCGGCGACTTCATTGAAAGAGGAGAGGGTTTAAGTTCTGTCGACGGGTCTCCTGCTTCTGCAGTTTAACAAGCACTTCAACAAGCCTGTTTTTTTCCTGCTTGGCAAGCCGAGCTGACGTGACATGGGGGCGTGGCAGCATCGACGATTCTATTTTTTGATTCGATAATCGAAATTGAGCATAAATTTCGATCGATTTCGATTAAAAATCAAAATCGTGACACCCCTAATCGGTAACACTTTACAATAAGATTCATTAGTTAATGCATTTACTAACATGAACTAATCATGAACAACACATGTTCAATTATGATTAATAAATGCTGTACATTTACTGATGCATTAATAACATCAAAGTCCATTCTTGTTAACATTAGTTAATGCACCATGAGTTAACATGAACTAACAATGAACTACTGTATTTTCATTAATGTTAACTAACATCAACAAATACAGTACTAAATGTATTGTTCATTGTTAGTTCTTGTCAGTAAATGCATTAATTAACATTAACTAATGAACCTTATTGTAAAGTGTGACCTAAACATCTTTGTTTTGTTGTGGAGTGTTCCTGTAAAGACTGGAGATCAGCTTCATCAAGTGTTGGTTCATGACGTGATGAGCTGTGTGACTGATGTATCGTGTGTTTGCTCAGATGATGGCAGTGCAACTCCAGTTCAGGACGAGCAGGAGGACGCTGGGCCCGGATCACGACAGTCTGATGTGAGTAAAAATTTGTATTTATATCTGTGTGTATTTATATCTGTGCGCACTTGTGTATATTCTCATGCATGCAATACAAAGACATATGATTTTGTTTGGTTTATATCTGTCAAAGCCATCATGTGACTGTAAAAGTAGGATCATTTTGACCAGGGGTGTCCTGCATAGTTTAGCTCCAACTTCCTTCAACACACCTTTCTAGAAGTTTCTAGTAAACCCAGAAAGAGCTCGATTAGCTGGTTCTGGTGTGTTTAATTGGGGTTGGAACTTAACTTTCCAGGATACTGGCCCTCCAGGACTGAGTTTGGACACCGCTGGTTTAGACTGTATTCAGTTCAGTTTTAAATAATTTCATTTAATTCTGTAGTATAGGCAGAATAATTAAGTCCAGTCTGTTAAAAACTGTAAGGAATAATTGACAACAGGCTGTTGATGAATAAAATAATGTACAACCGAATGGGCGATAGAGCATTATTTGTGCATTATTTCCTAATGATTCAGCAGAATGGAGTGTATTATTCCACTGTGGTCTGCGAAGCTGCTTCACTGTTGAGATGTTGTGTTTGAGAGTTTGTTTGTCAGGGTTTTGGCCTGCTCAAACTGCTTCTGTATGTTGCACTAGATTCTTCCACATCTCCTGCAAATCCTTCTGTTGTGTTTTGATGTGATTTTTGATTGGACTGCACAATATATCATTTGAGCATCGATATCACAACGTTTGCGTCTGCAAAAGCCACATCACAAGATATGCAATGTTGAGTTAGGATTATAGCTGGCCAGGACCACAGGTCAAACTATCTATCGTTCTGTCTGTCTGTGTATTGTTCTATCAATCTATCGATCCATCTATCTATTCATCCATCCATCCATCTATCTATTCATCCATCCATCCATCTATCCATCTGTCCATCCATCTATCTATCAATCCATCTATCCATCCATCAATCCATCTATCCATCTATCCATCCATCCATCTATCTATCCATCCGTCCATCCATCCATCCATCTATCCATCTATTCATCCATCCATCTATCAATCCATCTATCTATTCATCCATCCATCCATCTATCAATCCATCCATCATCCATCTATCTGTCCATCCATCTATCAATCCATCCATCCATCTACCTATCAATCCATCATCCATCTATCCACCCATCCATCCATCCATCTATCAATCCATTTATCAATCCATCCATCCATCTATCTATCAATCCATCCATCTATCAATCCATCTATCCATCAATCCATCTGTCCATCCATCCATCTATCAATCCATCCATCTATCAATCCATCTGTCCATCCATCTATCCATCCATCTGTCCATCCATCTATCCATCCATCTATCTATCCATCTGTCCGTCCATCCATCCATCTATCAATCCATCCATCTATCTGTCCATCCATCCATCTATCAATCCATCCATCTATCTATCAATCCATCTATCAATCTATCTATCAATCCATCTATCAATCCATCTATCAATCCATCTATCCATCCATCCATCTATCTATCCATCTGTCCATCCATCTATCCATCCATCCATCTATCCATCCATCCATCAATCCATCTATCCATCCATCCATCTATCCATCCATCCATCTATCCATCCATCCATCTATCCATCCATCTGCCTGAGCGGTTTTAGTTCCAGCCCTGCTTCAACACACTTACTTAAAGGTTTCAAACAAGCCTGAAGGACTTGAGTAGTTTGATCAGGTGTGTTTAATTAGGGTTAAAGCTAAGCTTTCGCTCAGTTTGACACCTGTGCATTAGTATGATGGAAAATAATGCAGATCTGAAGTGTAACAGCCACTCTGCTTCATACGACCACCTGGGGAGTGCATTATTTTCTAAAATTCAACCACAAGTTATCAATTATTCTTCTCATAAGCTTTTATATTTAGATGCAATAAATCACAATGATTTGTACTGAACATTAACTGTTCTTATATTCTCGAACATGATTTCCTGATGTTTCTGCCCTTGCAGGATGACGGCAGCGATAATGAAGACAGAAAGTCAGACAACAGCGATTCAGAGATGGAGCCGCCACGACCCGCAGACAGCGATGACGACAGCAGCTCTCCCGTGAAGAGAAGAGCCAGCACGTCTGACCTGGAGGTAGGCATCAAATTTTCTTGTTGCGAGAGAAGGAAGCTTTTATCATAGTGTAAGGTCCAGCCAGTAGGTCCAATGACTGTGTCCACTGGTGGATGAAGGTTCGATGCCTGTTCGGTCTGTCCAGTGCACAATGTTGATTTACCTTAAATTTAACTCATATCTGACTCCAATTTGAGTATGAGGTGGTTTAGAATATTAATATATTTATCTTTAGTTTTATCTGACTCCAATCATAAAACATTAAGAAGATTATATTAATATATGATTTAGATAAATGTTTGAACCTTTTGTCTTCACTAGTAACTATCACATCCGTTCATTCGGGTGCTCATGTCGCTCAGAGAAATCGCCCCGGCCGAAGGCGTCCCTCACGGTCACACTCTGGCCAGTCTTGAATATTAAACAGAGGTAATTGACTAACACTTTGGATGGCCGCTACCAGCGCGCTCGTTCTAAAATACTTTAGTTAGGCCTCGTTTACACTAGTGCGTTTTAGTTTTAAAACGGCGTTGAAGAATGAAAACGATCCGCGTCCACACTCGCGTTTTACCCAGCGTTTCTGAACTGCTCTGCGTCCACACCAAAACGCTGAAAACGCACGTCACGTGACCACACAGACACTCTCGGGCAAGCGCTGGAGCCCATCTACCCAGATGAGAGCTCTGCTAGTCGGACTTCTCATCAAGCATCTACCGCTGGATCTAATCTCACTATATTTATTAAACGTGATATTTAATTTATCTTGTTGTCTTTATCTAACGACATATTCCCTGACTTTGGTCATTGGAATCTATTACTTTTTCTCAGGTAACGTGTTTTGGCTGAGCGCAAAGATAAGTTAATGATTAATGTAACCACGTAGCCTACATTCTGTATATTGACTGATCGCTTGCCTTTATTTCCTATAATGTATAAACTTATTGTATGTTATACTTTTATAATGGCCATTATCGATTATTAAAACTGATATTCAGCAAAAGAGAGGCTGTGTTTCGTATTTTCACTGAAATTGAAAGGAGGCAGTTGTTATCGGCTCCGTTTTGTTATAAATATCCACACAGTGAAGATGACGCTCATATATGCAGCACGATGCCTCAACATTTCTGCTGTCTGTTCAGTTGCTAATATTAAAATGAAAATAGGCAGTTCCTTAAATCATGTTTACATTTTATTGTTGAGAAAGTGAAACAACGTAGCCAGGGTGATGTGAATGAAGTTATAAAGTACACTGTTCCCTTTGAAGATTTACCCGTGTCCTCTGTATAGTCTGTTTTCCATATCAAACTGAGAAGAAGAGATGCAGCCTTGATCAAACTTGCGAAGTCTGAACTTACAAAGAGAGAATGCAGGACTGAACTGTGTGTGTTAGGCTACTTAATATTAAGGAAAAGACCCAATCAGAGAGGCGAATGTCTGCAGCCCCGCCTCCGTTTTCAGATGTCTCCGTTTTCCATCATCCACACTGAGACGGAGCAGCAGCGTTTCAGAATGAAAACGGCCTCTCCAGCGTTTTCGAAACGCTCCGTTTTCGACGCTCGAGAACTCCGGTGTAGTGTGGACGGTTGGCGTAACCGTAGCAAAACTTATGCGTTTTCAAACTAATACGCACTAGTGTAAACGGGGCCTTAGTCCCGCTTAGATGTACACCCTTGAGTTAAAAAAAATATAATTTCTAATTAGAGGTTAGGGCATTATTATAAATGTACCCGACTACTGGACTCTATAGTAACTTTGGTTTTCACCAAGCCCATGGTTTCCAATATGAACTTAATTTAGAATAATATTACTTCCAAACAAAGGTCGGGTACCCAATCTAGGTTAGTCGTGCAACACCTTGTTGACCTAGACAGAAGTTAACGCATTTTCCACCTAAGTACACTTGAATCAATATCAAGAGTCAGTCGGATCCTTAAAACACAATTAGTGTGTCTCAACTGGATTTTAGTCCGTCTACTGACCTGACGCAAGACGTGCGGAAACAAGGATACGGCGTAATCTACTTGAATTAATAATTACCAAGTGAGCAAAATATGGTCAAACATAACAATTTATTAGTCAGGTAAATGTATTATGCCAATTCAACCAGTCAATTCATAAATGATCAATACAAAACATCAAATTATCAAAGATAAATCCAAGATGAAGCGATGCATACCTGACTTCAAATTATACGTTACGGGCTGATCTGGGTAAGCAGAATCGCGCCGAGCCTTTCTCAAACCTTACCTTAAGTAATCCAAGAATTCCCTCAAGGAAGGGGGTGTGTGCATAACGAAAGGCATTTGCATTTAGTGCTGCCTGTGGGAAAGTCACACCCTTCACAGTGGTTCAAAAGATGCCTGAAGTTATGTATTTATTGTTTTGATTATGTCTATTTCTGCGAGAATGAGACCATTGTACCAATCGCACTGAGACAATTCAAATGATATCAAACATGATGGATAAAGTCACTTGGGTTCATTTAAAACATTCAGACATTGAAATGACCATAGTGTGAGGTGGGGTGGTTGAAGTCGAGTTTCAGTGGATTCAGATGGAAATGTAGCGGGAACTGGTTTTTCCCTGATTTCCCACCTGCTGGGTTGTCCAATTGTCTCTGTTTTCGACTCATGTTTGAATTATCAAAGACATCAAAATATTTGTAATATCTCAATTCCTACAATGGTATAGTTACTGTAACCAGTGTAGTACTTCTACATAGTGTATTGTTACAGTAGTCAACATTTCGAAGTGCATCAAAAAAGTTTTCAAAATTATCCCAGGACTAGAATGGGTGTTTCAGGACAACTTGATGATCCACTTCAGATGTTGACTACTGCATATACAATGCTCAGCGGAACCCTTTTGAAAATGAATTTTTTTTATAAATTTCTCAGTGAATTTAGACAGGAATTTTTGATTTTGGTGCATTTAAACATTAAACAGTTACACTCGCCGGCCCCTTTATTAGGTACACCTGTCCAACTTCTAGTTAATGCAAATTTCTAATCAGCCAATCACATGGCAGCAGCTCAATGCATTTCGGCATGTAGACATGGTCAAGACGATCTGCTGCAGTTCAGAGCGAGCATCAGAATGGGGAAGAAAGGGGATTTAAGAGACTTTGAACGTGGCATGGTTGTTGCTGCCAGACGGGCTGCTCTGAGTATTTCAGAAACTGCTGATCTACTGGGATTTTCACGCACAACCATCTCTAGGGTTTACAGAGAATAAAAAAAAAAAAAAAAAAAAAAAGAGTAATTATCCAGTAAGCTGCTGCTCTGTGGGCGCAAATGCCTTGTTGATGAGGCCAAGAGGCCAGAGGAGAATGGCCAGACATTCTGGATATCTGAAAATAAATCGCCTGATAAGTCTTCAAACATTTGCTGCAGTGATGAGCAAGGGTTAATCATGAATAATTATTCACTTACTAGTGATACATTGTGTGCTGATTATCATGATATATTGAGTAATTGAATATGTCTGCCTCGAGGAGGAAGAGGAGAAAACGCATGCTGCTAGCGACTCTGAGGAAGAGCAGCAGAAGAGACGCAGCCCTAAATCAGACGCCGGCAGCGATTCAGACGAGGACAGGCCCAAACAGAGGACTCAGAACCACTCTGAAGATGAGGAGGAGGAGGGAGGGAGGAAGGGGAAGTGGAAAACCGCAATGAACTCGGACAGCGAGGAAGACGAGGACAGAGCGAAAGAGGAAGCAGGAAGTGATGAGGATGATAAAAGGCCTAAAAGAAGGGCTCTAGGTAGTGATGATGAAGATGATGGAAGGCCTCAAAGAAAGGCTCTGGCTAGTGATGATGAAGATGAAAGGCCCAAACGAAAGGCTTTAGGTAGTGATGATGATGAGGATGAAGAGCCTAAACAAAAGGCTTTAAACAGCGATGAAGATGATAAACGTCCTAAACGAAAGGCTTTAGATAGTGATGATGATGACGATGATGATGATAAAAGGCCCAAACGAAAGGCTTTAGGTAGTGATGATGATGAAGATGAAGGGCCTAAACGAAAGGCTTTAGGTAGTGATGATGATGATGGAGGGCCCAAATCAAAAGCTTTAGATAGTGATGATGATGAAGATGAAAGACCCAAACGAAAAGTTCTAGCTAGTGATGATGAAGATGAAGGGCCCAAACGAAAGGCTTTAGATAGTGATGATGAAGATGAAAGACCCAAACGGAGAGCTCTAGCCAGTGATGATGAAGATGATGAAGGGCCCAAACGAAAGGCTTTAGGCAGTGATGATGATGAGGATGAAGATGACAAGCCTGGTAAGTCTTTACAGCTCTTAAACAACTTGTATTGTTTGAGTTACACTTATGATTTCTTTATTTAAAAAATGTCATGTATATTGCTTCACACACCACCAGTAGGAAATACACTTTGCTGTTTCTCTTCATGTACACCAGACACTTTCCAACAAATACGCCCTTACAAGGGCTCAAAAAGAAAAAAATCCTGCTAAATTGTCAATTCATTTGTGCTTTCTGCTTATTTTATCCTCATTTACAAGTCATTTTGGATGGAAGTGTCAAATAAATAAATGTAAATGGTAATTAGTCTTTTTCACATATTATACATGTGTGTTTATATTTGTACTTGATACAATTACTTGTTTCTTATTGGCCAATCAAACATTCTAAGCCATGTTATTCTCATAATAATCAATTAAACTAATAACACAGGCTTATCTGGGTACTACCAATTATATTGACCGTTGAATGTATGTAAACTTGTCTCTTCACTACAGTGTTTGATGCATTCAAGAATTACTTTGGCTTTTTCTTTGTCGAGCTTTACTTTTAATTGAAAAGCTAGTAAATTAATACAGCTTAGATCAATGTTGTGTCGGGTTGTTTAGTTTTGAGGGAAATATCTGTGTAATAATTGGTATAATGTACATCCAGCCGGTTGTTAAGTTTGGCATAAAGTATAACTAGGCAGTTGTTTCGCATATTAAAGCTCGACAGGTTAATCGGCAGTCTAATGCGAAGCTGAAACTTCAGCTGATGGAGTATACACTAACCTGCACATTATTCAGACACTAGATGGAGACAAACAGTCAAAAACACAACAGAAACTAAAACAGCTGATGGAGTATACACTAACCTGCGCATTATTCAGACACTAGATGGAGTCAAACAGTCAAAAACACAAAGCTGACAGAAACTAAAACAGCTGATGGAGTATACACTAACCTGCGCATTATTCAGACACTAGATGGAGACAAACAGTCAAAAACACAACAAAAACTAAAACAGCTGATGGAGTATACACTAACCTGCGCATTATTCAGACACTAGATGAAGACAAACAGTCAAAAACACAACAGAAACTAAAACAGCTGATGGAGTATACACTAACCTGCGCATTATTCACTCACTAGATGGAGACAAACATTCAAAAACACAACAGAAACTAAAACAGCTGGTGGAGTATACACTAACCTGCGCATTATTCAGACACTAGATGGAGACAAACAGTCAAAAACACAACAGAAACTAAAACAGCTGATGGAGTATACACTAACCTGCGCATTATTCAGACACTAGATGAGACAAACAGTCAAAAACACAACAGAAACTAAAACGGCTGGTGGAGTATACACTAACCTGCGCATTATTCAGACACTAGATGAGACAAACAGTCAAAAACACAACAGAAACTAAAACAGCTGATGGAGTATACACTAACCTGCGCATTATTTAGACACTAGATGGAGCCAAATAGTCAAAAACACAACAGAAACTAAAACAGCTGATGGAGTATACACTAACCTGCGCATTATTTAGACACTAGATGGAGCCAAATAGTCAAAAACACAACAGAAACTAAAACAGCTGATGGAGTATACACTAACCTGTGCATTATTCAGACACTAGATGGAGCCAAAGAGCCAAAACACTAAGCTGAGAGAAACTAAAACAGCTGATGGAGTATACACTAACCTGCGCATTATTCAGACACTAGATGGAGACAAACAGTCAAAAACACAACAGAAACTAAAACAGCTGATGGAGTATACACTAACCTGTGCATTATTCAGACACTAGATGGAGCCAAAGAGCCAAAACACTAAGCTGAGAGAAACTAAAACAGCTGATGGAGTATACACTAACCTGCACATTATTCAGACACTAGATGGAGACAGTCAAAAACACAAAGCTGACAGAGACTAAAACAGCTGATGGAGTATACACTAACCTGCACATTATTCAGACACTAGATGGAGCCAAACAGTCAAAAACACAAAGCTGACAGAAACTAAAACAGCTGATGGATTATACACTAACCTGCACATTATTCAGACACTAGATGGAGCCAAACAGTCAAAAACACAACAGAAACTAAAACAGCTGATGGAGTATACACTAACCTGCGCATTATTCAGACACTAGATGGAGACAAACAGTAAAAAACACAAAGCTGACAGACACTAAAACAGCTGTGTTATTACTATCTATATTTGTTATCTGAGAATAATATAGCTTGAAATGTTGTGACTGACTAATCAGAATCAAGTATTCCAGGCGGCTGTGTAATAATGCAGTATAAAGCCCTTCAGTCATACAACAGATGCTGATAGACATCTCGGGCATTATTCTGCAGTACATCCGACTGGATGTACATTATCCCTTACTTATATTACAAACAAAAATGTTTATTATGCAATTAATAGAGTCTGAATGCGATTGTAAACGTGTAATAGTTACATAATACTATAATCTTTAGTAAAGAGCAATAATGACAGTAAAATATGCTGTGTTGTGCCACTGTAAATGTGCAATTGTTTTACAGTAAAGAGGAAGAAGGCCGTTCTCTCAGACAGTGATGAAGATGAGGAGAAGGGTAACGTTGCTGTCTGTCATTTACACTCTCTGTATGATGTCATCATTGATGATGATGATGAGGGTGTTTTTTTCTGTAGCGGTGAAAAAGAGCCGGATAGTGTCTGATGATGACGACTCTGGCAGTGATGAAGGCTCCGGAGGTCCTGATAAGAGTTTAGCAGCTAAACTGAAGGAGCTGGGCTCAGACAGCGAGGATGAGGAGGACATGAAGAAGGGCGAAGCAGGGAAGAAGGATGAGAAGGCTCTGTTCGGGAGCGACAGCGACTCAGGAGGCGATGAGGAAGAGTTAGTAATCTCTCTTTTTTTTTTTTTTACCCTTGTGTACTGTTCAGATTAGGGGTGTGAACCTATACTGGTCTCACGGTTTGGTTCGGTTATGATTATCATGCCATTAATTCGGTTCAATTAGATTTCTCGGTGCATCACGGTTCACTGACAATGCTTTCCATACAATATTAGATTTTTTCTTCGCACACAAGATTTTTTTTAAAATTAAAATCGTTAAATGTATTAATATTTATATATTATTTGTAATACAATTTTTTCCTTTAATACAAGCAGTAAGATATATGAACTGTACCCTTAATTTGACCTGCTCAAAGAAAACACTCTTTCTGAATGCATCAAACAAAACTCCAACACATGCACAGAAGACAGCATGAGCATGAAGTATAAATAAACCTTCAGAAGAATAAGAACAGTCAGAGCCCTATCAAACACCCGGTGCAATGTGGCAATGCAAGGCGCAGCGCAATAGTCTTTTGCTACTTTTAGCTTGGTGCAAGGGTCATTTTGAGGTGTTGCGCCACAGTTTAAATAGCAAATGCATTTGCGCTCAAATGTGCACCCATAGGCGTTCTGCTCTAATAAAGCAGGCGTGTTTTGGCGCGTTGCTATTTTGAGAAACTGTAAATAGTCTGATCTTTACACCAGAACAAAGTCGGTCTATTGTCTGGCGCAAAGTGCGCCTGGGTTACACACTACACACAAGATGCAGAGCAATACGCAAATATCTTTACATATGGAAAATATATAATGTTTTAAAGATATATATAATAAGGATATATATAGGATATAATTATAAAGGATTAAAATATTACAAAGCATATTAATTTCTAGCCTACATGAATTTAAAAACCACTGCCTTCATACTTTCTTCATCTCGGGAGGCTTTTTCAGTTAACTCAATTTGCTTTTAATGTGATCATTATTAGCAGTATTATTTATTATATCCATATTTATATTTGTTTTATTAAAAACAAGCTTAGATTTGCTCACCTGCAGGTTTTAGACCATATGGGGCATGGCAGGTGTATTTGGATATAACTCAGTATTTTGTGCACACTTGGCTATTATTGTTCATTTATTCGTTTGCTGGAAATTAGAACTGAATTTAGAAATAGTCTCGACACAAATCTTTGCGCTTAACAAACGAAATTAATTATTTATAGGCTAATTGATGTCTGTGTGGTAAGGTTTCCCTATGCATGAGAGCAAAAGCGAAAGTGAACTTACTTTGTCATGTTAAAGGCGAATGCGCTCTTGGCGTGACGCAGCTGACTCTTAAAGGGAATGGGAGATGAGACTCTGATTGGTTTATTCTCAAAACACACCTATAACTCATTAAGAAAATAAACTCAACCCTTTTAGACCGTGCGCCATGGTGCAAAGCAGATTTTCCTGCCTTAAGTTGACAAAAATGCGTTCTGACACGCCCTGAAAGCGTTTGCACCCTGCGCTCTGTGCATGGACCGTCAAAATAGAGCCCTCAGTGTTGGAGAATGAAGAAGAGGATCTTTAATGATGATAATATTAGTAAAAGTAATGTTTGTGATGATAAAATGATACTAATAATATCATCCTTCTTTCTGTGTGTGTCTGTGTGATCATCTCTTTATCTGTAAGGAAAATGATCGCTGATATTTTCGGAGAGTCTGGTGATGAGGAAGAGGAAGAGTTCACGGTAAGCTGAAATATTTCAGATTTGTTTTGTCCGTGGTATGGAAAACCTGGGAATTTTAGTTTTTTATTTGCTTGTTATTTTATTTAAATACTTGTATGTGCTGCTGTTTCTTGTGTTTTGTTTTTTAATACTGCTGTTTAATACTGAAGGTATAAGGTGTGGAACGCATCACAGTTCATCTGTGATTTGTTTGGATCACAACCCTCGGTTTATAAAACTTGACCGGCGGATCAATACATTTTTTTTAATTGTTAGATTAATCTTAAATTTATAACTATGGCAGGGAGATCACCTCAACGTCATTCAAATCACATGTATGAAGCGTTTAGGCTTTCCTGTAAGATATAATGATGCTGGAAGAAGTTGTGGTGGGTTATTGGGGATGTGGTGGGTTTCTTAGGTTATTAAAGCTGTTTTCTGTCACTACTTGTTTAGCCTGCATTAATGCATTTAGTGTAATCTGAATGAATAATCATTAAAAGATCAGGATCTCAACACCCACGCAACATCCATTATTAATGATGCTGAGTTGCATATGTTTATTAATCCATCCAATCGCTGCATTCAAATCTGAAAATGTCAAAATCAAAAAAGATGTTGTCTTTAGTGTTTTGAGTTGGTTATGATGTTACAAACGGTCAAATAACAGAGAAGTACTGGGAGAACAGTTTATAGTTTAGATAAAACCACTGATGTTTATAGTGAAGATTAAAATAACCGTCGTACGCATTTAACGACTCTCAATTAAGAAAGTTGTAGGAAGCAGTTCTATTATTTAACCAATAGGTTAAATGATAGAACACATAGCCACACACACACACACACACACACACACATACACTACGGACAATTTAGCCTACCCAATTCACCTGTACCGCATATGTTTGTATTGTGGGTGAAACCGGAGCACCCGGCGGAAACCCACGCGAACGCAGGGTGAACATGCAAACTCCACACAGAAGCACTGAAGCTCGAACCAGCGACCTTCTTGCTGTAAGGCGACAGCACTACCTACTGCGCCACTGCTTGGCCAATTATTATTTTATATTTTATATTTTATTAGCCCTCCTGTGAGATTTTAATTCTTCAAAAAATATTTCCCCAGATGCTCATCAGAGAATTTTTTCAAAGCATTTCTTAAAATGATTGTTTTAATAACTAATATCTTATTACTAATTTCTTTTGTCTTTTCCACAGTGACAGTGCATAGTATTTTACAAGAGATTATGCCATTTTTACAGGATTTTAGGTGGCATTAGACTTTCTCATTGCGGTTGTAGAATAACCAGGGTTGTAATCATTTATAACATATTCATTCATTCATTTTCTTTTCTGCTTAGTCCCTTTATTAATCCGGGGTCGCCACAGCGGAATGAATCGCCAACTCATCCAGCATATGTTTTATGCAGCGGATGCCCTAATCTGTCTGTCTATATGTTAAGGCAATTTCAAATTGTGCTGATTTAGTGTTGATTCAGCCATCAAAATTAACGCCAGTGAATAATTCCTCAACAATGATCATCTAGTAATGAAACATGAAGTTTTATGAGTGAATAACTGAATCATTTACTGAAAATTAGACTAAAAATAAATACAAAATGTACAAAGTTGATGTTAGATTTCTACATTTAGCAACGATATCAGCAACAGTAACAGTGAATTATTCACAGTACTGAATATTTTATTATTTCTTTATTTTATGTTTAATAAAATAACAGCTTGTAAGCTCTGATTGTTAAAAACCAAACGTGTCTTGCAGTGCTGTTTCTGTAATAAATGGGAAAACAAATTATATTTGTCTCCCCTCTTTGGCTGATCCGAAAAATAACCCGGTCCGTGTCTTAAAAAAATCCGAGACATGAGATTTGTGATCCGTTACACCACTATGAAGTTTTACACAACAGAACTGCACTTTGTATATGCAGATATGATGTTATTTACTTTAAAACAATGCAGATGGCATGGATTTAAACCGTGTCCTGACTGCACTGTAAAAAAAAGATCCATTAACTAACAGCTTACATATTTCATAATTTGTGTTTTTATTTTCTCCAATTAATTAATAATAATGATTCTTGATCTCTGCGCTGTTGAGTATTAATGTTGAACATTCAACACTGATATTTTATTAGTTTGAATCTATATACAGTATAAACATTAAATAATACACAGACAGAATTATTAGCTCCCCTTTATATTTTTTCCCCAGTTTCTGTTTAATGGAGAGCAGATTGTTTTCAGCACATTTCTAATCATAATAGTGTTAATAACTCATCTCTAATAACTGATTTATTTTCTCTTTGCCATGATGACAGTAAATAATATTAGACTAGACATTCTTCAAGACACTTCTATACAGCTTAAAGTGCTCAATTTGCTGCACCTACAACAAACACGCAAGGTACACCCCCGACACCACACACACTCACCTCTTTTTCTCATCTCTCTGAGTCTGAGGTGTCCAAACTGGTGCTATCTAGCCATGCAACCACCTGTCCACTCGATCCCATTCCCTCTCATCTCTTGCAAGCCATCTCTCCTGCAGTCATACCAACACTGACTCACATAATTAACACATCTCTTGACTCTGGTTTATTCCCCACTTCATTTAAGCAGGCTAGGGTAACCCCACTGCTAAACAAACCCAACCTGGACCATACGCTACTTGAAAACTACAGACCAGTATCCCTGCTTCCAATTATGGCCAAGATTCTGGAGAAAGTAGTGTTCAATCAAGTCCTGGACTTTCTTACTCAAAACAATCTCATGGACAACAAGCAATCCGGCTTTAAGAAAGGCCACTCAACTGAGACTGCCCTGCTCTCGGTCGTGGAGGATCTCAGACTGGCTAAAGCAGACTCTAAATCATCAGTCCTCATCTTGCTGGACTTGTCAGCTGCTTTTGACACTGTCAACCACCAGATCCTGCTATCTACGCTCGAGTCACTGGGTATTGCGGGCACTGTTATACAATGGTTCAGATCTTACCTCTCTGACAGGTCATTCAGGGTGTCTTGGAGGGGAGAGGTGTCCAACCTACAGCATCTAAACACTGGGGTACCTCAAGGCTCTGTTCTTGGGCCACTTCAATTCTCCATCTATACAACATCTTTAGGCTCAGTCATCCAGAAACATGGATTCTCCTACCACTGCTATGCTGATGATACCCAGCTATACCTCTCTTTTCATCCTGATGATCCCTCGGTTCCAGCTCGCATCTCAGCCTGCCTGTTGGATATTTCACACTGGATGAAAGATCATCATCTTCAGCTGAACCTCACGAAAACAGAAATGCTTGAAGTTTCTGCCAACCCGACTCTACACCATAACTTTTCAATCCAGATGGATGGGGCAACCATTACTGCATCCAAAATGGTGAAAAGCCTTGGAGTAACGATTGATGACCAACTAAACTTCTCTGACCACATTTTTAGAACTGCTCGATTGTGCAGATTCACACTCTATAACATCAGAAAGATCCGACCCTTCTTATCTGAACATGCAGCTCAACTCCTTGTTCAAGCTCTTGTTCTCTCCAGACTGGACTATCACAACTCTCTACTAGCCGGGCTTCCAGCTAACTCTATCAAACCTCTTCAGCTGCTTCAGAACGCAGCAGCACGAGTGATCTTTAATGAAGCTAAAAGAGCACATGTCACTCCGCTGCTCATCCGTTTGCACTGGCTGCCAGTTGCTGCTCGCATCAAATTCAAAGCTCTGATGTTTGCTTACAAAGCGACTTCTGGCTTTGCTCCTGCTTATCTGCTCTCACTTCTGCAGATCTATGTGCCCTCCAGAAACTTGCGTTCTGTGAATGAACGTCGCCTCGTGGTTCCATCCCAAAGAGGGAAGAAATCACTTTCCCGAACTCTCACATTCAATCTGCCCAGTTGGTGGAATGAACTCCCTAACTGCATCAGAACGGCAGAGTCACTCGCTGTCTTCAAGAAACGACTAAAAACTCAACTATTTACTCTCCACTTCACTTCCTAATCTGCAATTGCCTCTCTGGATATACCACTAACTGTACTCATTTGTAAGTCGCTTTGGATAAAAGTGTCTGCTAAATGACTAAATGTAAATGTAAAGTGAAATTTAAAGGCTTAACTCGGGTAATTAGGGTAAAGTTAGGGTAATTAGGCAAGTCATTGTATAACAGTGGTTTGTTCTGGAGACAATCTAAAACTAATATTGCTGAAGGGGGCTAATAATATTGACTTTTTTAAACAATTAAAACTGCTTTTACTCTAGCCTAAATAAAACAAATAAGACTTTCTCCAGAAGAACAAATATCTGTTCAACATAATTTGGGAAATGACTTGTAAATGGAGTTTTGAAGAATGAAACTATCCTGAGTCACGTCAAAAGATTGTGCACTTGATGTGCTTTTAGTTCATGTGCTTTGTCGATGTGTTTGTGTTCAGGGTTTCAATCAGGAGGAGCTGGAGGCGGAGCGGCCGCAGACTCAGGTCTCTGGACAGAGGAAAGCAGATGACGACTCTGATTCAGATGACGGCATCGACAGAGGAGGAAAAGAGTGAGATTTTAGGGAATGTCATGGTGTGGAAGTTCCCCCAAAAACCCTAATTTAATTACTCTCTATGCACGCTCAAGTGGTTCCAACCCTTTGTTAGCTGCTTTATTCTGTTGTACACTAAAGATCTAAAAATCTGTCATCATTGACTTCCATAGTAGGATAAACAAATAATATGGAAGGCAATGGTTACACGTTTCAAACATTTTTCAAAATATCTTCTTTGGAGCAGAAGAATGTAAGTCAAACAGGCTTGGAACAAGTAGAGGATGAGTAAATGATGAAAGAGTTTTCAGTTTTGGTGTGAGTTATCTGTTTAAAGGCACTGGAGATAACACACTGATTGGTTTAATGCATGTTATGGACAAAACTCACCCAAAACTTGTTAAGAGACTTAGGACAACCCTTTTAGACCATGCTCCAGTTGCTGCCATTAAAATATCAACAAAAGTGTATTCGAACACACTGAATACATGCACCTGCGCCATGTGCTTTAGACTATGTGCTTAGATCAGTAAAACAGAGCCCATGGAGTGAATTAAAGCTGTGTGTGTGTAAAAAATGTATTTGTGTGTTTTTTTTGTGTTCTAGCATGTCCTACATGTCAGATTTTGACATGATGCTGGCCCGTAAGAAAGCTCAGAGTGGCAAACGCAGACGCAATCGAGACGGCGGAACGTTCATCAGTGATGCAGATGATGTCGTGAGCGCCATGATCACCAAGATGACAGAAGCCGCTGAGGTCTGTTTGATTCATTTTTAATTATTGTTTATGTTCAGCAATCTCTGTTGATTTACCAAAGAAAATGATTGTAGTTTAGTGTGACATAAGTCATGTTTACAGGAACACACAATAAATATTATTGAATATTTATTTTATATAGAGGTCAAACCGGATTTCTTCTTAATTCTTCATTAAAATAATTGAATTCAGAGTATTTTTTTGGTCAGAACAACACGTTTTGGCTTTTGTGAAATTTGAAATTCAATAATAAAATAATATAATGCATAAAAAAAAATGCATTATTAAAAATAAAAAGGCATATTAAAAATGCATAAAAAGGCATATTAAAAATGCATAATAAAAATTCAAAACAAAAATGCATAATAAAAATGCATAATAAAAAATGTAAATGCATAATAAAAAAAATTAAAATGCATAGTAAAATGCATATTAAAAAAATTAAAATGCATAATAAAAAATAAAACTGCATAATAAAAAATAAAATGCATAAATGCATAATAAAACGCATAATAAAAAATGCATAATATAATGCATAATAAAAAATATAAATGCATAATAAAAAATAAAACTGCATAATAAAAATAAAAATGCATAAATGCATAATAAAAAAAAAATTGCAGAATAAAAAAGGCATAATAAAAATGCAAAAAAATGCATAATAAAAAAATAAAAATGCATAATAAAATGCATAATGAAAAAATAAAATGCATAATTAAATGCATAATAAAAAATAAAAATACATAATACAAAAAATGCATTAAAAAAAGGCATAATAAAAAATAAAAATGCATAATAAAAAATAAAACTACATAATAAAATTAATTCATAAATGCATAATAAAAAATAAAAATGCATAATAAAAAATAAAACTTCATAATAAAATAATGCATAAATGTATAATAAAAAATAAAAATGCATAATAATATAAATAAAAATGCATAATAAAAAATTAAAAAATGCTTAATAAAAACTGCATAAAAATAAAAATGCTTAATAAAAATTAAAAATGCATAATGAAAAATAAAAAGGCTTAAATAAAAACTAATGCATAACAATGCATAATAAAAAATAAAAATGCAAAAAACATGCATAATTAAAATGCATAATAAAAACTAAAAATGCAAAAAACATGCATAATAAAAATGCATAATAAAAAATAAAAATGCTTAATAAAAACTGCATAATAAATAAAAATGCTTAATAAAAATTAAAAATGCATAATAAAAAATAAAAAGGCTTAATAAAAACTGCATAATAAATAAAAATGCTTAATAAAAATTAAAAATGCATAATAAAAAATAAAAAGGCTTAATAAAAACTGCATAATAAATAAAAATGCTTAATAAAAATTAAAAATGCATAATAAAAAATAAAAAGGCTTAATAAAAACTAATGCATAATAAAAATAACAATGCATAATAAAAATGCATAGCAAAAATTAAAAATGCGTAATAAAAAATAAATAGGCATCATACAAATGCATAAAAATAATGCATAATAAAAATTATAATGCATAATAAAAAAATTAAATGCTTAAATTAAATAGTCATAAAAAATGCATAATAGTGAATAATAAAAATAAAAATGCATCATAAAACAAAACATAATAAAATAATAAATAATGCATAATAAAACAAAAGTGCATATTAAATAATGCATAATAAAAAAATCTAAATGCATAATTTTTTACTTTTTAAAACAAAATGAGATGTGCTTGTGTATGTTTCAGAAGGATCAAATGCTAAACAGTGAATAAAAATGCATAATAAAAAATATATAATGCAGGATAAATAAAAAAAGAAGGAATAAAATCTTTAGCGTTTTCAGAAAATCAGACATCTTTTTAATTACAACTAAAATAACATGAGAAAAATGTGTGTGTGGGTTTTTCAGGAGGATCGAACGCTGAACAGTCAGAAGAAGCCCGCTCTGAAGAAGCTGATGCTGCTGCCCACAGTAGTCATGCATCTGAAGAAGTGAGTGTTCATTCGACATATATGTCGCCCGTTCACACAGAATGTATTTTTCCATTCCAGTGTGCCACTGTTCCATTGATTTTCCATATAACACACTCATCAATTTCAATTCTAAAGCTGTGGACCAATCAGAAGAACTTGGAGGCGGGGAAAGCATTTTGTTTTCAGTAGCAATTTTCCATGACAACATTGTGGAGGAGGAGCTTATTTTTACTTAAACCTTTCCTTAGTGCTTTGTCTCACATTTTTCGGTGTAACATTCTGGGTGAAGGAGTCCTAATTCACTTCAAGTTATTATAAGCTATTATTTAGAATTTATAATAGAACAATGTAGAAAAACAGTGTATAGTTTACATGTGGGTAAAAAAACAAGATCTGAGGTAATATTTAATATTTCGTTTCTCTAGTAACCTCATCACAATATGACAAAAAATGGTTGCAGCTTCCGGTTCATGCAGACTTTGAATTGTGTGTCTGTGTGTGTATACAGGCAGGATCTGAAGGAGACGTTCATAGACAGCGGTGTAATGGCTGCTATAAAGGAGTGGATCAGTCCTCTGCCGGATAAAAGTCTCCCTGCTCTGCGGATACGAGAGGAACTGCTCAAGATCCTGCAGGAAGTGAGTGTTGAGGACACTTATGGCCTATAAATACATTATAGTATACTGTATGTTATGCATATCATTGTGGAGTGTGTTGGGGATGTGCATTTTTAAATTATTATCGCAAATTATTGCATTTTTGTGTTATTGTGGTGGTGGTGGTGTGTTTTTTTATTTACATATTCTATATACTCTATAAATTATATTATTATTATTATTGTTGTTGTAATTTCCTTGTCAGAGCTACTTATTACAATATTTTAGCAATATTTATTATTTTATACATAATCTAAAATGTTATTTTTTTATGCATATATTTAAATGATTAATGTTTGAATATATATATATATATATATATATATATATATATTA